AGAAGCGTCGAATCTATCTCAGTTGTTATCGGTGTCATGTCATGCTGTGTTGTTTGTGTGTGAGTGTGTCATGCAGCATAGCTTCATGAGCTCTTTTATCAGCTGGCCAGTTCCGTCTGCTCCAGGCTCCTATTTTCCTCATACTTTAACATGCTTGTGTTCTGTCTTCTGTCTTAGGGTTTCTCTTTCTCACAACCAGCTCCACACACTCAAACTACTGGATTCATGGCTGTATGAGCACAGCCACAAGCACAGGTGTATAAAGGAAAGCAAGAGCTCATAATCCTAGAGCACACTTATTGTTTGGCTAATAATAGCACACTGCTGGCTGCACCCATAGGCCAGACCGCTGGAAGACAGACAGAAGGATTAATGGGTAACAGGATTAAAACTATTATTTTCATCCCTTGCTAAATCATGTCTCAGTCTATGCATGACCTACCACCAGTCTGATTATTACAGCTGTACGTGTCTAATTGTTTGCATACTGTGCTTGAGCTGTAGAAGTATAAACTGACTTTACAAATGTATAGTTAAAGAAAAGGTAGAAACAACATTTTGAGACTAAGGGCATATGATAAACCACTTTTCACTCTCCTCAAATCTGGCCTGATCTCACAATAAAGCATAACACAAACATTTTTTTTCTGTTAATGTGGGTTTTAATGGATTCTAAAGCTCTCAAGTGAAAACAGTTATCATACCAACTTACCCCAAAGCTCGGAGAGACTAAAAAAACAATGTCAAATTTAATTACAATGACCAGGCTGTTTGTAAAACATAGTTTTCTGAACCCCACCCCTTTAACACACTAGAGCGTGCGCACACGCTCATACACACTCACTCACGATGTCCCCTCACTACACTCCAGAATCGCTTTGATTAACATGCTAAGAGACGAGGAGAGTAATAGAAACACTTGATCCGTCTCCACTTTACGCAGCGTTTCTAGCCAGATGTTGAGCTCTCCAGCTCTTCATCTGCTTAGATGTGGGACTTCAGTTTAATAGGGCATCACTAAACCAAAGTCCTGTAATAGCTGGCCAGCTTAAGAGAGAAGTATTGGATGACCCTCATGTGAAATAAGGAAACATGTCAGCCGCGCAAGGACTTCTGAACAGCGTCTTTTCCTGCTCGTCACCTGCCTCCAAAGCGATTGCCAAGCGGAGGCTGCGCCAGACACGCAGCCTGGACCCCGCTATCATCAGACACTGTGACACAGGGATCGATGCAGCGAGTGGTGCTTCGTTTTTGGCTGCAGCGGCTGCTCCGGACGCAGGTGCGTCCCCGGAGCGCTTAAGTGTGAAACCGGCTTTACGCGCCAAGATCCCTACGTTTAAGGAACCAATTACACCCTCCATCTCCTCTCCTTCCATACCTCTGGATGTCTCCCCATCCTCCAACTTCCACTTTGACTATGATATTGTGAAGCGTGCTAAACGGAATACCGCCGGGGATTTGCCGGTTCTGGTGAGGGGAGCGTCGTCCGGAAGCACCGGGACGCTCTTCTCCCCGCGGAGGTGGCTCCAGAGGAAAGTGCAGCAGACCTGCCCTCACTCTTACGTTGTGTGGAAGTTGGAGGTAAACTTTCCCAAACTATGCATTATTCTTTCTTTTCGGATGATTATTCCATGACATATAGGAATTTGCGTTTATTTTTGTGGTGAGACTGGCTTATATGTGGCAACTTTATGGCCCACGAACAATTGTGGAAGTGGGCAAACGGGTAGCAACCAACTTCTCCTTTTGCATTTTAGTCTGGTATGGACCATCATTCTTTTGTGAGAAAGCAAAATACAATCCCACAGAGCATTTAAGGATTAAAATATTCAAACAAAAGAAGCAATGAAGTGCAGATGTTTCCCCCCTATGCTGCCATCTTTGAATTGGTTGGGCCTTTGTCTTCATTTTAACTTCCAACTGAGTGTGAAAGAGAGGCAGGCAGGTATGAAATCCTAACCAAAACATACTTGGGAGACTTATTTTAAGTGGGGGAGGTAGGGGGTGCTTTATAGACTGCATACCTGGCATGAGTCCACATGCATTGGTGGAAAGGTATGATCTTTTTCCTGCATCTTGTGAGGAACTAGTCCATTTTTTTCTCGTGTTTCTTGCTCACACTTTAAGGGTGCCTGGTTGTACGTGCAGCAGCTCGTGTGTGTGTTTTCTGATGTGAGGGTCCTGAGGACACATGGCTGTGGAGTCAGTTCTCATGACTGGGAGAGCGGTCAAAGGGTCAAAACCACTCAGCCCCCAAACAGCTCTCCCATCATTTCCTATTATAAACAACAGCCCCAGCTCCATTCTCCATTTCATTCTTCTCATAGTGTGTCTTCCTTTATTTCTTACACACACACAAACACAGACCCACACTCTCTTTTCCTCCAATCTACTTCTCACTAAGCAGTTTCCCACAGATTTAGCTATTTTCCATGCAGTCCCTCCTCCTGATAAGGCACACAGAGGCTCGCATGAAGCCCTCAGTAAGCAGTCATTAGTACAATCTGGACCGTGAAGTTATTGCACCTCAGAGTGTTTGTAAAAATACTGAACCAAGATGTGGTGGTGTATTTGGGATGTGTCTAACACAGTTGGGTGTGAAGTTAAACCCCTTAATTACATACAAGAAAAGAGGAAGTCAAAGACAGAATGATCAAATGAAGCTGAAATTGTTCAACAATAGGAGTAAGATACAGATCCAGTAAGATACAATCAGCACCCCGGAGCTATTTTCATTCTGATGGAGGGTCATTCTGTTAAAGGTCCAACACAATAAACTAATGTCAAGAGCTAGCTTAGGCGAACAGTCCCCTGCTGGGTCTCATGTTAGGAGCATCGGGGGGAAAAGAAGTAGCACTTGAACACATTACAAAGACAACATCCAACTCCCAGCTGAGACACAAGGTTGGCCGGTGCAAGAGGATGCAACTGTAGAAGGCACTGCTAGCCTGAACAAAACACATTTTAAACAAGAGCAGCAGCTTTTAGTTGACAGTATTGATCAAGCTCGAAAATATGGAAACTATATGATAGATAATTCTACATATTTTTCAGTTAATTTCAACTGCTACGCTTTCAATAAACAAAGGCATCAAACTTCTACCATTTACCCAATAAAATCCCCTGACATCATACCAGCAAAACAAAATCCAGCTTCCAAAACCTTTCGTCAGGGTGTTAAAGCCTTCAGAAAGGCTGTTTGTGAAATATCTCCAGTCTTTCAGTTGAGCTTAACAAACGAACATAGCAGTTTCAGACTACAACCAATGTCATTACTCTAATGGCACAGCATGAACAGACAAGCTGTAAATGTAAGTTAGTGTATCACAATCCAAATATTTATGCAGTTGAGATCCCATTGTAAATAATTTACATGTGCCGAGCTGGATGTGTATGCGCACGTGTGTATGGCAACACATCCATATTGGCATAGTATGCCTTTTTAAGGATTGAGACATGAACAGGAGGCATAGACAACTAATGGATGTGAGAAAAAAAGAGATGTAGTGGTTTATACAAAAAGCAGAGTGACAGTTTTACTACCTATGATTGTTAAATAGCTTCTTCTTTCATGGAGATGCTGTTGATGTTGAAAGACCAGCGACGGGAGAGTTCATCACAGTTACTCCTGTCCTATTGCAGAGGGGGAGTCACTGACTGGATTTGGCTCTCAAGTTGTGAATTGGCTCTAAAGTTGGACATCACATCACCACTTACTCTTGCAAAACAATACAAAATCAACATGGGATGTTTTACGAGGATGTTGAAGTGCAGAAATGTGTAACTTTAGTCGGTGAGGGATAAGCTGAAACTCCACAGTGCTCCTTGTGTCTTTTCACATTACTTTGCTCAGATATCCACACAAACTCACATGCACAGAGGCTCAGCGAGGGAACTGTGGTCAACTAATTTAATCCTGGTTGTTTATGGAGTGCCAGAATGTTGACATTGTACTTCTATTCTTAGGCCCACTTACAGTAATGCTCTGAAGGAAAGATCTCGTGATGAAAATCAGTCCAGAATTAGATCTTAACTGCTTAAAAAAAGTTATTGAATGGTTGATAACAGATGTTCAGCAGCTGTTCTGTGAGGACAATGCTTGGTGGTGTAACATGCATCCATTTAGAAACACACGTGACCCCCACTGTTGCCCACTGAGCTGCAAACACCTAAAGAGCATGAAAGTGCAGTACTCTAACAGTAATTATATAATAGAATTAGTAAGACTGCAAATAGGAAGGCATTAGAGTTCCTGTTTAGTAAAGTTTAACCAACCAACCTAGAGGAAGGAGAATTTCTCACATAATCCATGAGTTTATCAGGAAATTTGAAATCCAAATGTTTTTAGAGAAGCCCGAAGCCATCTGTAATCACTGCACATAGTTTAAAGTGTCTATTAATATTTCTCCCTTTGATTTTGTTCTGGGGAAATAAACAAAACAATTTTTACTTCACAATTGCCTGCATATGGTTGTTACCATTCTTAAAATTCTCTTTTGACCCTCATGATGATTTATGTTCAGGAGCTATTGCTAAACTGCCTCAAAGTCCTTTGTGCTTAGAGACGAATCAGAGAAACGCACTTTGAAAAGGTCTAAACAGACAGTTGCTGGTTTCTAAGGGTCACTAATGATGTTTAGTTATTCTTTATGTAATGGTAGAGTCAAGGCTCTGCATGGCAGTAGTATTCAAATTACTAAAGGTATTTTTAGAAATTTTTTCAAGGGTTGCAAAAAATAATCTAAGAGAAAAAAAACATCTGTTAACATTTAAAACAGTTTGACAGTTAAATACATTTTACCTTTTGGAGTCCAAACCAAATCTACATGAGATAGTTTGTCATTTACTAAATTAAATAGTTTCCTGTGTAACTTTGACTCAACGCAATGTATTTTGAAAGCATGCAAAATATTTAATTAAAAAAGCATTTATGCTTCACGCTCTGAGGCATGTTGAGTATGAAAAGCTGCACGTTTGCCGTTGCATATGCTGTGAACAAAACAAGCTGTGTTTCCATGCACTTCATAAGTGTCTGCAACATAATAACGTGTTCAGGTTTTTTTTTCAATGTGTACAGTAAAGTGTCAAAGGAAAATTCTGATCTTCTTTTGATCATTAAAGGTGCAAAGGGCAAGACAACTGAAGACTAAGAGTCCACAATCTTAAGCAGAATAATCAAACAAAAAAAAACAATACTTGGGGTGTGAAGCATTGGCAGCTCTATTCAGCCTGAATAAATGATCAAAGAAAAAAATTCCAGGAAACATTCCAAGAAAAATATACCACATGTCACGAGTTTCAGGGTTCTACATCAAATTAATTAGATCAACAGTTCAGATGAAAAAGTAAACTGAAACAGAAAAAAGTTTACAAGCAGCTGAATATTGGACATGCCCCTCAGAAACAAAAACGCTTGAACTTATGAACCTGACTGCCATCCATTTCGCTTTTCCTCCCCAATTTCCTCCCTATGTTCCCTCAAATGATGAGGCTGCGTTGGAGGAACAAGACCTTGATGGGCTGACATCTTTGGAATGCATGTAGCAAAAATACACCAGCGAAAAAGAAAAAAAAAGAAAAAGAAAAATCACAGCTTTAGGCTGTTCAGTAAAGATTTGGATAGCCTGACAAACCTGAAGATGCTAATTATTTTTGGTTTTAAGGTTTTTGCAGTATCCCAGAAAGAACTGGCTGATCATAATCCAGAACCCAGGGTCAGGAAAGGGGCAAAAACCATGCTGTTGCAAGAGCCTCCATCAAAACAGTGAAAATGTGATGAAATGCAGTTTGATTTTCTTGGCTGGTTCTGTAGCAATTCACAGATGCTTCAGAGCTGGATCTGCCAGCATTCTGGATCCACTTGAAAGAAAGTGTGTTAAACTATTGTTGCATGTAACTATTGTTGCTTATAGATAATATCTAATGCAGTGTTGAAGAACATATAAGAGAAATTTCCAGTTGATTGAATGGTGGAAGAGGATAAAAATATATTCACTACAATGCATTGGCTGAATGATGTTTTTCTTTTTTCTTCAAAATGATTTATATTTGGTGAAGTGATGTTTTCTCCTAAAGCAACCCCTTGCTAAATCAGAAGCTTTGCCAAATACTTCTTGTTGCCGAACGTTTGTGGCCTGATGATCCCTGCACTCCTGGGTGAAGCTCTGAATGAATGCGTGTGGGTCTGCGGTGGGCTGTAGTTTGATTATGGCGCTTATTAGGTTTACCAGGCCTGGTTGTAAACATGGTACAGGAACTATCTACATTCATGGTAAATCATGCACATCTTGTTACATAAAGTTATTGCTAATATTTCAGCTTCCTAAGATGATAGTCATTTCATGAAATCAAGACTGATTATTGTTCTAATCTGGTCAATTCAATCCATTTAAACCAAGATCTTTGTTGCATTTGATTGAAACCTGTTTTCCCTTTCAAGCAATGCAGATCATGAACAGTGTATTTTGTTTCTAACTTCTCAGGTGTGGCATTTATGAAGCCAGTAAATGATTAAAGAAAACGTTTGTGCAAGCTTTGGAAAAAAGGAAAGAAGGCCTGAACGAGACGTGGTTTCAGAGGAG